TATATATATATATAAGTAATTAATATCTTTAATTATGCGCGGCGGCCACCAGTACCACTCTCCCTATGGCAATTGAAGTAAATAGCAGCAACAGGCAAACCAAGATTGTAAAGTTCTACAAAGTCTCTTGTGCTGAAAGTCTGACGCCAACCTGGTGCATACACAGTTTCGCGACCCAATTGTCGAAGCAACACGAAAACAAAGCGATGAATTCCCAATGATGGTTGTGGACTCTCGTAGCATATAACTTAATTTCCTGCAATGCAGCGAAATATCAAGTAAAAGGATTTTAGTTATATATACACTGATACAGTAAATAGAATTTACCTTATAAGTGTATATATGTTACCTCTAATAGTAAATTATAGTACCGTTTTTATTAGATTATTAATTAATGCTATTATCTTACAAATGACCTAATTGTACAAATTATTTTTACAGCATGAGTGCATAGAACTTAAACTGTACCTAATTAAGAATGTTGATTAATCCAACACCCATCTAACCTAAAGAAATCACAAACTAATTATGCAGAATGGATTTTAGTACAAAGAAGCAACTCATGATCTGTAATATAGGAGGATTTACCAAAGCTCGTATCTGTAGTTGCTGGGATATCTGTGACCAGCCTACAAAAATATAAAAAAGAAAGTGTTAGGAAAAAAAAAGATATATAGGGATAGTTAAATACTCTTAATTAGCATTACAATATTAAAAAAAATCAAAACTTATAAATCCGAATAATATAAATTCTAGCCAAAATATTGAAAAAGATAATATAATACGACCAGCTAAAGACAGAGAGAAGCCCAATGTGATTTTCCTCGTTTTCAGTTTTATGTGTTTTCTGTATTTCAGTTCCACTGATTTTTCAAATAAGATTTTTGGTTGAGCTTTTCATTTAAAAACATTGGTTTTTCATTTAGAACTTATGTCACACAATTGTTTTCACTACAAGAAAAAAGTTGATTTGTGACGGAATATTTTTGACTGAAGATCTACTACAAAATTGTGACAAACTTGTGACAATTTTATGGCGGAATATATAAATGTGAACGAAATATTTGACTATTTTTGACGTTCTCATTCTTCCATCACAAAATATTTTGCGATGCTTGAATTTTTGATGATTTGTTTTTAATTGTAATAAGAGTAGTATCCTTTATAACATATGTCATATCTGCGTTGAGACTGAAGTTAGTATTTTGAGTAAGAAGTCTAAAGCATATGTCTCACTTGCGTTATGAAAGAGTTAGGGTTTGCAGTACATATCGTTAGTTATAATTTGAGTGACGTTATGATTTTATGTTAGACAAGTTGGGTTCTCTTAACACATCTGGTACTTGTGTTTTGAGCACATAAAATAATTATCTCGATTGCAAGCATATATGGGTGGGATTAAACTGTATCTAATTTATTATTTTTTCCAATCAAAGCCACCTTTAATATGGAAGGGGTTAGGTCTGACCCCTACCTCATATATAATAATAAAAAAGCAACTAGTACTTGTACAAGAGGTGTGTGTATATATATATATATATATA